AGGAAAATAGGCAAAATTGTGTAATAAGACTTTGTATTTTGAGATGCAATTAGCACAGTTTTTACAGGCGTATTTTGAGACTACAAAGCTTTTTTTCGTTTCTTAGTTAGTTTTTTATTTTATTACTTGTAAGAACAACAAAAATGACAATACACGGTAATGTTTGGTTTCTACTGCGCATAGCTTTGTCGAGATTATGGTACTGTTGTCTCAGTGTGAAGACATCCACATTTCTAACAGCCGCGTCTGCATGGATTTCTATCAGCTGTAGCAGAGTTGCCCGTTGTTTTTCACGCGGCTCGTTTCGTATCTAGTTGTTTCAACATTACTGAGTATTGTAGCATCAGGTGACTAATTTCTATCTAGAAGTAACTGTGCAGGATGCAACGAGCATTGAGATGGCGATCTTTTGATCATGCCGTTTATTTAGTTTTTTTTTTTTTTTTTTAAATAAGTCACCACTTTTCTACTCCACTCCTTGCTGTTCCTTGTGTCAATGGAATCAAACAAGCACTTTTTTAAACAAATCATTGGAAACAACAATAACCCGTTCAATTTGCATATGTGATCGTGATTATTATGCTAATGGTTATTGCTATTTTTAAGAGGAGAAAACTGTGAAAGGGAGGGAGGGAGGGTTGATGGGAGGGTCGGCCAAGTGATTTGATAAGGGTTTGGCCGTGGGCATTTAAGGGTATTTTGTGCTTTTTATTTTGAGGGGTAGATTAAGAGGGATAGAATGGGTGGGATTTTTTTTATTTTTATTTCCGGTTTTTCGGGTGATGTAAAAAGACAATTTGCCATAATTTTGTTATACAATATTTTGAGAGTACCTCTTTGTATTTAAGTGTTTTTGAGAGTTGGGCTGACATGCTGGATCCCTTATACGGGTATGTTGGTTACATACCTTTCTATTTATTTACCAATAGCATCACTCAAACTGACTTTGTAGCAGATCCTTTTAGGCAAATAATCACGGACCTACTCCAAATCCTTCACCTCTTTGTTTTTGTTGTTGTTTTTATTCATTACAAGAAGCGGTTTCAGTAACACGGTCCAGAAAACTCCAGATTAATCCATCTCCCAAACCCAAAATGCAGCCCTGCACTCACAAGAATAAACAATGGCCTTCTTTGTCTTCCTTGGCTAAAGCCAATCTGTCTGGCAGCCAGGGTTGATATTTAATTTAGTTGATTTCCTGTGACCCCCCCCCCTCTTTCCTTCCTTTTCCCCTGTCTGTGAGTACCACAGCTCCGCCAGAGACTTCGAAGCTGCTCAGATCATATGGAACAAAGACTTACTGACCAGCAACTTCGCTCCAAACACACTATGCTTTTAAAGAAGAGAAAAAAATGAGTGGATGAGATGGAGGGGAGAGAAAAAAAAAGACAAAAAGATTGACCTAAATATACCTCATATCATTAAAGCGTTAAAGGAAAAAAAAGCAGGGACACGCGTTGTATGTAGTGGACATATTTGTAGTATAGGTTCGACATATTGTATAATCATTTAACACTGCCTGTGTTTACAGTTTTAGAGCAAACGACTCATCAAAATGCAAATGTATTATTTTTGTTTTCTGTAAAAAAAGAAACATCCACGCCAAGCAGTGTTGAATTATAGATGCCTCATAGAACATTCTTCTCATTATATCCCTTATTTTTGTTACTTGCCATAATGTGTTTTGATATGATCTCTAGAAGGATATTGTTTACAAAATGTACAAAAACACTAAAAATCTGTTTTGTTTTTCCAGTTTGCATGAAAACATTTTTGTACTGCTTTTTTTTTTTTTTGTCACCTCAATACCAAATTTTTGTAGCAGATCTTCCCCCTCTCCCCAGTTCCTGTCTTATTTGATCTAGAGTCCTTGTGTCATGATTTCCAAGGCAATACCTGTTGAGATGAACGGATTTGAGAAGCCAATAAAAACGTTTTGTTACTGAACGAGTACGGACACTGGTGATTTTAGATTATTCAGATAGTTTTCTTTTTTAGAGCACAGATTAATTTTAGTCCTGCATCATTGATGTATGGTTTTGTTCATATGTATATGTATCTGTAGTACACGAATGAGGGGAAGATGGAGCAGGAAATCGACAGGCGGATTGGTGCAGTGTTTGCTGTGAAGTGTGGGCTGTACTGGTCCATTGTGGTAAAGAGAGAGCTGAGCCAAAAGGCAAAGCTCTTGATTTTTCTTTTTTTTTTCCCAGTCGATCTACGTTCCTACCCTCATCTATGGTCATGCCAGCTTTCAGTCATGCCCGAAAGAACGAGATCCCGGATACAATTGGCCGAATTGAGTGTTCTCCATAGTGTGTCTGGGCTCTCCCTTAGAGATAGGGTGAAGAGCTCAGTCATCCGGGGAGGACTGAGAGTAGAGTCACTGTTCCTCCACGTTGAGAGGAGCCAGTTAGGAAGACGCATCCCTGGTGAGGTGTTCCGGGCATGTTCCACCAGGAGAAGGCCCAGAAAGAGACCCAGGATACGCTGGAGGGACTGTTTCCTGGCTGGCCTGGGAATGCCTTTCCCCGGAGGAGCTGGCCCAAATAGCTGGGTAGAGCGACCTCTGGGCCTCCCTGCTGAAGCTGCTACCCTCGCGACCCGACCCTGGATAAGCGGAAGAAGATGGATGGATATATCATATACACACTAGTCAAAAAGGTAACAGAGATTCAATTAGACTTATATAAAATCAAACCTACCACTCAGGCAGCAACACATAATTTCAAATGCTGTTGTACAAACTCCCCATTGAAAAAGAAAAACTAAAAACAGAAAGCTGCATCCTTGGTTTAACATAGAGCTGTGCACTTTAAAGCAAAATACCCATAAAATTTGGAGAGAAAATTATGCTCTCAATGCCTACAGGAATCCTACCTAGTCTGGAAAAACTTTGCTGCTGTAAAAACAGATCTCATAAAGCAAGAGCAACATATTTCTCTTCATTAATAAAGGAGAATAAGAATAATTGTAGCTGTCTTTTTAATGCAGATGTCAAACTTACCCAGAGCCATAGCGCTGTTGAACTGTTCACCCCCCCTCCCTGCTCTTAGCAGCAATATTTTTATATTATTTATATATAAGATTGATTCTATTAAAAATGAGATACTTAGCTCCTCTCTAAATATAGCTATTTAATCTCTGAAAGGGTGCTACACAGTGAGCCAGTGGGTAGCACTGCTGCCTTGCAGCAATATTGTTCTAGGTTGGATTCTCTGCCCTTGACAGCTGGAAATGGGCACCAGCAGCCTTTGCAACCCTAGCAGGGATAAGCATGACGTTAAATGGATGGATGGATGGATCTCTGGAAGGCGAGGTAGCATTTGAGGTAACCATAGGAACTGAACTGGGTTTGGACTGCTGCTTCAAAGCCTTCAAGTTGTATTTTAGGACCAGTTCTAGCAAAGTTATTTAAAGAAGTATTCCCTCTGATTTTCACCTCTATTTTAGATATGATTAATCTATTCATGTTACAATTATATCTACCTCAGGCTTTAAGAAAGCTTTAATTAAACCTTCAGAAACCAATCCTTAGATCTTTTCTAATCTTCTAATGTACAATTCCCTCGAAAAACACACCAAAGTACAGCACATTAGAAATAAAACAAATATATATATTGCATAAGCTTAAAGGATACACTAACAAGTAAAGTAAACGTGTTTCTCATTCCACCATTCTGTTGAGAAGGGTTTAGATTATTGTAATATTAGTGATATAAAAGCTACTCTTAAAATGTATGTTCATCCTATATTNGTAATGTTCTTACTTTTCAAACTTCTTTCTCCCATGTAAATTCACTAGTATTTATGATTGTTTCAAATAAGCCATTAGTATTCAGCTTGTTGGGTCCCATTCAAGTCACAATATAAGGGTGTGTTCACACCTACCACATTTGGCCGGCTTTAAAGGCACTGGAGGCTCAATTAGAATTCCTCAAATTATGGGTCCTACTTTCTGTTCATTCACCTTTCCCGGTGTCGACGATTAGAACTCTATCTGGGGTAAGAAAAGAGATCTGGACTGCTGAGTTGAATTCCTTAGCTTTTTGGAGGTCACTCGCATAATTGACAATGATCTGATTAAGACTACAGCGTTCTGGGGCAAGAACTACAAAAACAAAAAGTTACACAAAAATAGCACAAAATCTGAAGCTCCCCGTTAACAAACCCAAAACGTGTGAAGGTGTGTACTTGGCATGAGTGACACAGTGTAAACTTGGAGAAATTATTACATTTTGTTAAACTGTGAGGTAGGCTGCGCTTAACATTACTCCTAGTAGCTCCTAGTGTTGGCTCGGAACATTAGAAGCTCCCTATGCTTAACTATTTGGGCTAGGATAGCATCCTTCCTTACTGAAAGCACTATTCAGATAGCAGCTATGATGACTGCTGACGTACCTCAGTGTCCTTACGGATTTGAGATAATTTGATTGTGAGTTCATTTCCCTCTTTGGCCCAGATCCTTTGTTTGAAGTAGTCTTAGTCGGACTCAAATTCATAAAGCATAAGTCTTATTAAACTTGGTAAGCCACAAGGTTCCAGCAAGGAATGGCTTAAAGGAGACATACCTTGTTGCTGCCATTGAAGTTTTACTCAATTTCCAGGTCTTCGCTCAGTCCTGTCAGTCATTTCTGACCAATGGGAGAAATTATCATCAAACATATTGCTTTTCTAGAAGCTGCAAAACTACAACATTTGAATTGAGAAAGCTTCCTGGAGAGGTGGCGAAACGTCTTCAAATCTTGAAAACCAAGTCCAGTGGATATTTTTTTAATTTTTACGGAATGACTATGACCTGGATGACTGAGAACCTTCATCAGCATACTGCAAAACTACAATTTTAATACAAACAGCACCAAACTAAAAATAAAAATTAACTTTTGGTCCGGACCAAGCAACCAGACCTAAATACTTTGCTGGTTTGAATACAATCTGTAAATTCGGCTAGATGTTTGTTTCATTTGTGAATAAGATGGGTTTTTTTTGTTTGTTTCACTTCTAAGATTTCCTTTTTCTTTTGTTTAGTTCTTCTCTAGAACAGACCGGTTACTGAAGCACAAACGGACTTGTGGAGAAGCCATAAAGAAGGTTCTAGATCCAAACATGCTGGAGCTCAGTGAATCGGAGCTAGGCCAAGGCAGCTATTCACTCTCTCAGGGAAACTCAACCACCTCGGGACGCAAGAGGGGAAAATCTAAAAACGGCGAAGGTGGGGAACGCAAGAAGAAAAAGAATGCCTCAGCAGCAGCTTCCTCTGGGGGGATGGCCCGTGACCTGGGCCTACAGGACTTCAGTATGGAGCACCCCTCAGGCTCTGATCCAACGATGCAGGGGCGTTCCCCAAAATTGGTCTTTAAGAAAACCGGACGCAAAGGGCTAGACAAGGGCCTCATGTCCCTGGAAGATGGTTCAGATGGACAGAAGCTGTTGGGCCAGAAGCCTGATGCGATGGATCATGCAGAGGCTTCTGCCCTCGATAACATGGGTCTACTTCAGGGGCCTGGGGGCAACAAGCCAGGTCCCACCACCAGCAGCAACTATGATGATGCAATGCAGTTTGTCAAAAAGCGGCGCTATCTCCATGCTGTCAACAATGACTATGGAGCTGGGTCTCTTCACATGGCTTCCCAGGGTAACAACGTAATTCAGGGTTCTCTGGGGCCGGAGCCCACCCTGGCCATGCTGGACTCCTCGCCACTTGAACTCAAACACGATAAATCAGGCATTCCAGACGAGGTACTGCAAAGTCTGCTCGATCATTACAGCCATAAACCAGAGGGACCCCACCACGATGTGACTTTTGACCTGTCCGACCACCCGCACCACGTGGATCTCCAGCCAGCAGCTCCCGTCACCCCTGAATTGGAAGATGACTCCCCCAATGGGGGTGACAAAACGGCAGTAATGAGCGAGTACTCCAAATTCCTCCTACAGGCCTTGGAGCGCACCAGCCATAGCGGACCCTTCCCTAGCCTCGGCCCAACGGGTCCTTTCCCTCTTCTGTCCAGCAGCTCCAGCCCCACCGGCCCCCTGTTCTCAGACAAACATGCGTACGGCTCCTCTCCTTTAGATTGCGTCTACCCGCCCGCCGTCTCCTCTCCTCTGCCCATTGCTCCCCCTTCGTCGGCCTCCTCTTCATCCTCCTCAAAGTCACATTATGGATTACTCGTCGGATCCCCCTCTCAAGCGAGCTACCACCTCAGCCTAGAATCTACCAGCCACCAGCAGCTGACTCCGTCTCAGGAGCTGACCGAGCAGCTGGAGAAGCAACACTCCCCAGGCACCTTCAACCTCCCGCCGCAGGAACTCACCACTTCCGAGGGCTCAAAGGGGCAGCAGTCGAAGACAGGAGGTAGCGGAGGGGCCTCCAACGGCTCCAACTACCCAGACCTGTCCCCACTCAACCCTCCAAAAGAAACGACGTACCAGATCGAGAACTTCGCCCAGGCCTTCGGCTCCCAGTTCAAGTCCGGCCGGCGAACCCCTCTGAGCTACGGCAGCGACCCGGGAGCAGAGGTGGACCACAGAATACGGACTCCAGTGTCAGAATTCTCAGGGTATACCAGCTTGTTAGCTGACGTCAGCGAGCCAGTGAGTACAGGATCAAAAACCCCAACAAGCCAAAGTTTCAGATAAGGGTCAAACGAGGTGAAGCTCTAAGGGGGGGGCATTTTTCATCGCTGTCCACCGAGCCTCCACAGACGCTCCAGTTTTGTTCCTGTAGCAAAGGTTTTTTTTTTTTATGAACACTGCCATTAATTGTTAATACAAAATGACCAGGGAGGGTCTTTTATGGCCTCAAAATGCAATTTTTTTTAAAGATATTCTCATTTTTATCTTGTAGTCACATATGTTTTTGTTAAAGAGTAGTGATTTTTGATATGAACTTACCGTAGATTTAAATGTAATTTAAAAAGAAAAAACATTTAGAGGGTAGCTATGAACATGCTTATTTTTTTCCTCCTTTTTCTGAACTGTTTGTGATTTTTTTTATCAATCATCATACCATTGTAAAGTAATGAATTATGTTGATGATTTCAATAATAATAACTTTGTGTCAGGGAAAGGCCCAGAATTCAAATGGCAAAAAAAAAAAATATATTGTCTGTTACAAGAAACATATGAACTCAGGAAAATAGGCAAAATTGTGTAATAAGACTTTGTATTTTGAGATGCAATTAGCACAGTTTTTACAGGCGTATTTTGAGACTACAAAGCTTTTTTTCGTTTCTTAGTTAGTTTTTTATTTTATTACTTGTAAGAACAACAAAAATGACAATACACGGTAATGTTTGGTTTCTACTGCGCATAGCTTTGTCGAGATTATGGTACTGTTGTCTCAGTGTGAAGACATCCACATTTCTAACAGCCGCGTCTGCATGGATTTCTATCAGCTGTAGCAGAGTTGCCCGTTGTTTTTCACGCGGCTCGTTTCGTATCTAGTTGTTTCAACATTACTGAGTATTGTAGCATCAGGTGACTAATTTCTATCTAGAAGTAACTGTGCAGGATGCAACGAGCATTGAGATGGCGATCTTTTGATCATGCCGTTTATTTAGTTTTTTTTTTTTTTTTTTAAATAAGTCACCACTTTTCTACTCCACTCCTTGCTGTTCCTTGTGTCAATGGAATCAAACAAGCACTTTTTTAAACAAATCATTGGAAACAACAATAACCCGTTCAATTTGCATATGTGATCGTGATTATTATGCTAATGGTTATTGCTATTTTTAAGAGGAGAAAACTGTGAAAGGGAGGGAGGGAGGGTTGATGGGAGGGTCGGCCAAGTGATTTGATAAGGGTTTGGCCGTGGGCATTTAAGGGTATTTTGTGCTTTTTATTTTGAGGGGTAGATTAAGAGGGATAGAATGGGTGGGATTTTTTTTATTTTTATTTCCGGTTTTTCGGGTGATGTAAAAAGACAATTTGCCATAATTTTGTTATACAATATTTTGAGAGTACCTCTTTGTATTTAAGTGTTTTTGAGAGTTGGGCTGACATGCTGGATCCCTTATACGGGTATGTTGGTTACATACCTTTCTATTTATTTACCAATAGCATCACTCAAACTGACTTTGTAGCAGATCCTTTTAGGCAAATAATCACGGACCTACTCCAAATCCTTCACCTCTTTGTTTTTGTTGTTGTTTTTATTCATTACAAGAAGCGGTTTCAGTAACACGGTCCAGAAAACTCCAGATTAATCCATCTCCCAAACCCAAAATGCAGCCCTGCACTCACAAGAATAAACAATGGCCTTCTTTGTCTTCCTTGGCTAAAGCCAATCTGTCTGGCAGCCAGGGTTGATATTTAATTTAGTTGATTTCCTGTGACCCCCCCCCCTCTTTCCTTCCTTTTCCCCTGTCTGTGAGTACCACAGCTCCGCCAGAGACTTCGAAGCTGCTCAGATCATATGGAACAAAGACTTACTGACCAGCAACTTCGCTCCAAACACACTATGCTTTTAAAGAAGAGAAAAAAATGAGTGGATGAGATGGAGGGGAGAGAAAAAAAAAGACAAAAAGATTGACCTAAATATACCTCATATCATTAAAGCGTTAAAGGAAAAAAAAGCAGGGACACGCGTTGTATGTAGTGGACATATTTGTAGTATAGGTTCGACATATTGTATAATCATTTAACACTGCCTGTGTTTACAGTTTTAGAGCAAACGACTCATCAAAATGCAAATGTATTATTTTTGTTTTCTGTAAAAAAAGAAACATCCACGCCAAGCAGTGTTGAATTATAGATGCCTCATAGAACATTCTTCTCATTATATCCCTTATTTTTGTTACTTGCCATAATGTGTTTTGATATGATCTCTAGAAGGATATTGTTTACAAAATGTACAAAAACACTAAAAATCTGTTTTGTTTTTCCAGTTTGCATGAAAACATTTTTGTACTGCTTTTTTTTTTTTTTGTCACCTCAATACCAAATTTTTGTAGCAGATCTTCCCCCTCTCCCCAGTTCCTGTCTTATTTGATCTAGAGTCCTTGTGTCATGATTTCCAAGGCAATACCTGTTGAGATGAACGGATTTGAGAAGCCAATAAAAACGTTTTGTTACTGAACGAGTACGGACACTGGTGATTTTAGATTATTCAGATAGTTTTCTTTTTTAGAGCACAGATTAATTTTAGTCCTGCATCATTGATGTATGGTTTTGTTCATATGTATATGTATCTGTAGTACACGAATGAGGGGAAGATGGAGCAGGAAATCGACAGGCGGATTGGTGCAGTGTCTGCTGTGAAGTGTGGGCTGTACTGGTCCATTGTGGTAAAGAGAGAGCTGAGCCAAAAGGCAAAGCTCTTGATTTTTCTTTTTTTTTTCCCAGTCGATCTACGTTCCTACCCTCATCTATGGTCATGCCAGCTTTCAGTCATGCCCGAAAGAACGAGATCCCGGATACAATTGGCCGAATTGAGTGTTCTCCATAGTGTGTCTGGGCTCTCCCTTAGAGATAGGGTGAAGAGCTCAGTCATCCGGGGAGGACTGAGAGTAGAGTCACTGTTCCTCCACGTTGAGAGGAGCCAGTTAGGAAGACGCATCCATGGTGAGGTGTTCCGGGCATGTTCCACCAGGAGAAGGCCCAGAAAGAGACCCAGGACACGCTGGAGGGACTGTTTCCTGGCTGGCCTGGGAATGCCTTTCCCCGGAGGAGCTGGCCCAAATAGCTGGGTAGAGCGACCTCTGGGCCTCCCTGCTGAAGCTGCTACCCTCGCGACCCGACCCTGGATAAGCGGAAGAAGATGGATGGATATATCATATACACACTAGTCAAAAAGGTAACAGAGATTCAATTAGACTTATATAAAATCAAACCTACCACTCAGGCAGCAACACATAATTTCAAATGCTGTTGTACAAACTCCCCATTGAAAAAGAAAAACTAAAAACAGAAAGCTGCATCCTTGGTTTAACATAGAGCTGTGCACTTTAAAGCAAAATACCCATAAAATTTGGAGAGAAAATTATGCTCTCAATGCCTACAGGAATCCTACCTAGTCTGGAAAAACTTTGCTGCTGTAAAAACAGATCTCATAAAGCAAGAGCAACATATTTCTCTTCATTAATAAAGGAGAATAAGAATAATTGTAGCTGTCTTTTTAATGCAGATGTCAAACTTACCCAGAGCCATAGTGCTGTTGAACTGTTCACCCCCCCTCCCTGCTCTTAGCAGCAATATTTTTATATTATTTATATATAAGATTGATTCTATTAAAAATGAGATACTTAGCTCCTCTCTAAATATAGCTATTTAATCTCTGAAAGGGTGCTACACAGTGAGCCAATGGGTAGCACTGCTGCCTTGCAGCAATATTGTTCTTGGTTGGATTGTCGGCCCTTGACAGCTGGAGATGGGCACCAGCAGCCCCCATGACCCTAGCAGGGATAAGCATGACGTTAAATGGATGGATGGATCTCTGGAAGGCGAGGTAGCATTTGAGGTAACCATAGGAACTGAACTGGGTTTGGACTGCTGCTTCAAAGCCTTCAAGTTGTATTTTAGGACCAGTTCTAGCAAAGTTATTTAAAGAAGTATTCCCTCTGATTTTCACCTCTATTTTAGATATGATTAATCTATTCATGTTACAATTATATCTACCTCAGGCTTTAAGAAAGCTTTAATTAAACCTTCAGAAACCAATCCTTAGATCTTTTCTAATCTTCTAATGTACAATTCCCTCGAAAAACACACCAAAGTACAGCACATTAGAAATAAAACAAATATATATATTGCATAAGCTTAAAGGATACACTAACAAGTAAAGTAAACGTGTTTCTCATTCCACCATTCTGTTGAGAAGGGTTTAGATTATTGTAATATTAGTGATATAAAAGCTACTCTTAAAATGTATGTTCATCCTATATTTAAAAAAAAGTCAATCATACATTTACAGACAAAAACACTACAGCAATCATTTTATTATTGCTGATGTATTTGCATTAAAAGCTGTAGAATACAGAAATGTGTGATAAAGATGTTTTTAGAAGGCCTGTGAAAGAGTCTCACATTTATCCCTGCATCCCATCATGCATTATGCTTTGTTCCCATAAGATGGAGCTGTTTTCTACCATGTTTATGTCCACCATAAACAACAGAGTTGTTTAAATGAGAACATGAGGCATGTTTTCAATGTAGAACAAGCGGAGAGAGTATTGGGTGGTTAATTAAAGTCACAGTTTAACCCAGTACCCGAAAAAAATCGACTTCCTTCTTTACTTTAGTGTTGACCTTGATAGCTGTTTTTTCAGACTGTTTTCATGATAACGGAGAATAAAGTCCAAATCTTTGTCTCTTTGTGACTTTTATGAATATATAGGGTTCAAAGTACTGAATATTTAGCTTTTAGTCTTTGGTTTTTAATGCCATTTTGATCCCCTGTATATTTGGACTGACTGTTAAATCAAACATAATATAGTTTTCTTATACAGATTGAGGGGTTTATTCATGTTCTAGGCAAGAAATAAGTTTTAAGACATGTTTTATTGCAAAGTACTTCATGCCTAACAATATATAACTGTAGAATATAAAGCTGTAAAAGAATCGTACTTCTACCAATAATAACTTATGATCTACAGTAAGCAGTTCAAGCAAGTGCAATGGAAAACATTTTCTATTTTTCAGATTTGTTGTTATGGAGCTTTTATTGTCTCACTCTAATGTCAAACATCTTTCAAAAATTGGCTGAGAAAATGTATTGGGTTAACAAAAAATGGCTAAATGTAAAAAAAAATAATATAACTTTTCTATTATATTCATTATTACCACATTGTTCTTTCACAATTTTTCTTTCACAATTTCAATAGCCAAAAAGAAGGTAATTATTGCCAGGCCTGTAGTAATATTGGCTTAAATGTTTTTACAAATTAAAAAGAAAATTTAAAAACAAATGGGTACAAAGTTTCAGACGATATGTTTGGATATTTATAAACCATTTTTTTTTTACACATTAAGCCTGATTCAGAAATGAAGAGAAAAACAAATTACAGGTTTAATTCAGTTTATTTATATAGCACCAATTCACAACACATGTCATCTCAAGGCACTTTACAGTTCACCAGATCATAGAGTCAAATTGATTTAAAGTTTTCTATCTAAGGAAAACCAGTTGATTGCATCGACTCATTGACTCGAATGCAATCCCTCCCACTAAGCATGCTTGTAGTGACAGTGGAGCGGAAAAACTCCCTTTTAACAGGAAGAAACCTCCAGCAGAACCAGGCTCAGTGTGAGCGTCCATCTGCCGAGGCCGACTGGGGTTCAAGGAGAAAGAAAAAGCAGCTGTAAAAGACGGCCCCGTCCAGGAAAAACAAAGCCAGGCAGACAAGCTCTGAGCCAACTCCCATGTCAGAGGATGAAGAAAGTCACCGTCAGAGAAACAGGAATACACAGGAAAAACAGGACTACTCAAGTGAATCTTTCAAGGAGGTCTCAAAGAATCCAAGCAACATTTAACAAACTACAGGCATCAGTTGAAATCAGTGTTCATGATGTAACATAGACACAAGTTGCATTTCTGTAATGGTTAAAAGTAAAAAAAAAAAAAAAGAAAAACTTTCTGGGACAAACACAAAGACTAATTTCACATTTGTAAAAAACAAAGAAAGAATATCCCATAAACTGAGAGACAGAAAGTCAAGCTAGTTGAAACCAAACATGGTGGTTTTAGTGTGATAGCGTGTAATGCTATGTTGTCTCCTTAACTGGTTACTTTTATTATGTGTTGATTTCCTAAATGCATAAAAAACAACTAATGCTTGGAATGTCTTCTCTAGACTGGACAGAATTAAATTTTGCCTTTTGATCCTTCCAAAAAAAACAACTCTACAAATAAGTCACAGGTCTTTCATACTGATGTGAAAGACTTGATGGTGGCCACTACCAGCAAGTTAAAGGGATAAATACCGTTTTCACATGGGACTAAGTGGTAAAGAAAGTTGTTTTCCTTGATAATTTGAAGTATATGTATTTTTCTTATTTCATTTCAGTTTTGTTTGATGTTAAAATTGCTTTGATTTCTTGAATGAAGCAAGAACAGGAAATCTTACATCTATAAAGACCTAAAACTATTAATAGGATCAAATATATTCAGAAGTTTAAACAAGCTTAAAAAACTATCTGTAGAGATTAGCTGATGGTTACTAAGTTAAGCTTTGCTTTAATTTTAAATCGTGTTAGTGCTGATAATGAATATTTTACATGGGGGAAAATGCTAGACTTCTTCATTTAAGTATGTAAGACCTTGTAGAAAAGTATTTATCATGTCATTTTTTCTTCATAGAACTTTTTTCTCCATGAAATAGACAAATAAATAAAAAATCAGGGAAAAAAAACATAGGAAAGATTTTAGTCATCACTTTAAGGAGAGTTTCTGGCAAAAATGTTGTGTTGGGCAGGTGAATGCCCCACAAAGAGATCCTGATGTGTTAATTTGGTAATAAGGATAGCTTGATAACTTAAACCATATGTCGGGGTTGAGCATGGGTCATCTTTTTAAGCAAGCTTTTTATCTACAACTATATATTTTTTCCAAATACATGTTTGATTTAAAGGAGAGGCTATTGGACAAACAAATGATAAGTAATCACTAGTATTTTGATGACAAAAGTAGGAGGGAAACTGGGGGGTGAGGCTTTTTAGTGATAATTGAAATTTATTAATCTCACATTGGGGAAATTTATCTCTGCATTTAACCCATCCACATAGGGAGCAGTGGGCTGCCATTGTGCGGCGCCCGGGGAGCAGTGTGGGGTTAAGGGTCTTTATTTAGGGACCCAGAGTTCAAGCTGTGGGGATCAAACAAGGTACTTGCAACCTCAGAGCACAGCGCACTGCTCTAACCACTAGGCCATCACTTCCTTGTCTGGATCTGCCCGTGTGGAATCCTTAAAATCCCTAATTTCTTAAGAATCATCTGTCTGCGCCGGTTCAGTATTCAATGTTCTAAGCTTGTCGAGTCCAAATCCATTTTGGGACTCATAAACTAAAAACAAATATGGTTGTTTTTTAATACATCTCCTTCTGCCACTTGTGTTTCTTCTCTCATTTTGTTGTTTT